GTCCTAAGGGATACGTTTAGAAGGCCAAAATTAACATAAAAATTATTTTAAACTGAAAACATACGAGATTCAACAGGCAAAGAAGAAAATGGCTTTCTAGAGCTTTCCTTATCTTAATAAAAGCAGCAATGTTGAGGCAATAGGCTACCATAAATCTTCTGATTTGTATCCCTGAAGAAACTGGAAAGATTCATACGTGTACAAGAAGGCCATTGTCACAGGCTCTTTCTGGTCTCTTGAAATTTTCTTTCCTTCCTAAAAAAAACTATTTAAATTGTGTTGGAAACTATTAAACACACACACACACACACACACACACACGCACGCCCCTCTCTTTTCCCTAGCAAGTTTTTTTTTTAACTGTTCATACATTTATTAGTGATGAAAGTGGTGCTATTCATTTCCTCAGTAGTATTTATTAGATGCTCATACATCAGTCATAGCCCAAATTTTCCAGGATGGCTTGTATTAGTCATAGTGTTATTTATTTAAATAAAATTGATATGTGTGAAAAATTATGTCTTTTATTACATTTTCATGTAAACATATTTACAGAAAGAATTTTTTGGCTTAGATGAAGGATATCATTTTACAAACTTAAGACTATAAACTTTAGAGTCGGAACAACCAGGTTTTTTTGTAAGTTTTGAGGTCATCTGTAGCCAGTTGTTTCACTTCCCAATTTTCCACAAGGCATTTAATATGTCTATAGTCTGAAAAGTTTCCTCATCTGGAAATTGGAGTTTAAAATGGTACCTATTTAAGAATATTAGTTTTGGGGTTTTTTGGTTTTTTTTGTTTATTTATTTATTCATTTATTTTTGTATTTTAAGGAAGGTTTCACAGAGAATTCAGGGTCTCACTACTAGATCAGACTCATAGTGATCCTCCTGTTTACAGCCTCCCAAGAGCTGGGATTACAGGCACGCGCCACTAGGCCCAGTTTCAATCACAGTCTCAGGATGCCCCAGGAGTGGGGCAGGCCCAGGCATCAGATCCCAGGCCCCTGTGCCTGCCCGCAGGCACATTAATCCACTGAGCTATTTGGTTGGCCCTTTAAGAGCATCATTTTTTATTAAATGATTCTGATAAAATTCCTGGGAAAATATGATTTATACAATTAATAAGTATATAATTATACTTAAATATAAGCAGGTGGAATGGCCTTTCTATCACATCATTTGAGTGTACAGTGGCTCAAAGGACTGAATATCTAATTTTGAAGTTGAGAAATAAAATTTGGACTGGACTGATAGAATTAGCCAGAACATCTGAATTAAAGTAGTTTCTGTCAAAAGTCAGCTTAAAGCCTTATAAATGTCACTATATCGTCATTGTCTCCAGCCTTTCATGTGTCCCTAGCGAGTTTTGTATATAAGTTTTAACCATTTGATGAGTCAGTTCCTTCTTTCATGGATTCCCTGCACACAATTTTTTTCTTAATCCGTGTTTTGTCAATTCAGCTTGTAAGCACTTCTGCTTTATCAACTGAACATGAGAAACAAGAGACAATAATTGTTTTGGAAAGTTAGTCAACATACATGGGTAAAGCATCTGTATAAATGATCTTTGGGAAGTACACAGGAAGCCAGTAACAATGATTGTCCCCAGAGAGGAAAACTAGATGGCGAGCATTTGAAAACTTACATTTTACTTCCTTTAAGTCACCTTTTATTCCAGAAAACCTTCAGAGAGGAGAAAAATTCATACCTAGAATGCTATCACTTGTACACTAAAGCCAAATTCCACTGCTACCAAAGATTTCTTGGGACCAGGGAGATAGCTCAGTGTGCAGTGCTTGTCTGGCAAGCATGAAGTCCTGAGTTTGATTCCTTGTACCCCCACCATGAAAAGATTTCCTTTTTTAGCCTCTCCAACTTTTTCCTTCTAAATTACCAGCCCTGGAGCACAGTGATCCTAACTTTATTTTCATGTAATTTATTACTTTATATTGAATTTAGGCCTTTTCTATTATTTTGAAGGTAGCATACTGAGAAAAAAAATTAATGTAGACCAGGTGTCACAGAGGAACATGAAGGATCCAAATGATAAACATGTGCTGAACTATGACAGCTAGAGAGAGCGTTACAGATTTAAAGGAGAAGAAAATCAAACATGTTCAAAGAGCACAGAAACATGAACAGCATGATCTATTCGGGGAAATTCATTTTGACTGAGGTAAGGAAAGTACCAAAAGGAGATGAATCTAGTAAAACAGATTTAAGGAGATGCGAAAGGCCTTGTACACTGTTGTACTCCAAGAGTGAAAGTTATTAGAGGTTATTGAACAGAGGGAAAAAATATATATATATATATATATTTAAAAAAAAAAACATAACTGAATTTTTTTTTTTTTAAGTGCATGGCCCAGCAGAGAAACAGGCAGAAGGAAAAAGGGAAAGGGGCTATATTTTCTTTGAGGACAGGGAGAGAATGTGAGGAAGGATGACGAATTCTCTCAATTGGAACAAGGGGAGGCTGAGGTTGTTATGGCCTTCTGCCAGGGGTGGGGTTTGAAGGGATGTTTAGATAGACCTGATGAGCTGATTGGGGATCTTCCTTGAGGCGCTGGGAAGGGTGAAAGGAAATTGCATCCTGGGCTGAGTTGGAAAAGAAGGGGGGAGGTGGTCTTGGGGAAGATGGGCTTTTGTTTTAAGGGCATCAGCTATATTAGTGACCACCATGATAATACTGAATTTTAGCAATTCATACCAGGGCCAGAACCTATCAATAACTAGATCTATTGTTTAGAAAGATGATCTTCAGCATTTTCCGGAGCTCAGAAAGGAAAAACGAAAGCTGAAGCCTACACTGGCCAATTTGGTTATAAGCAAGGCTATGCCTCGAAATAATAAAATTAAAAGGTCTGGAGATGTACACACTGTGAAGTTCCTGAGATCAAAACCCAGGAACACACATACACAGTAATAATATTACCTAAATTTGTACTTGGTTGGAGAACAGAGGCATAAAGGCTACAGAATATTGAAATAACTTATTCAAGAGATCAATAGTGAATTTAGAAATTTGTAACAGATACCTGGAGGTGTTGGAGCTAGAATTTGTGGACACCAACCTGGGGATCCAGCATTAAGAGATAAAGTAGTAAGGAGAGGGTGTAAGGGCAGAAGAGATATTTAAATGACAGCATTTTGGGGCTCAAATCAGTGAGACAGAAGTCAGGGGAGCTATAATGAGATGTTTTAAGAGGGCAAAAGTGAAGTAATCACTATGCACTGCTAACATGTACTAATACTTTCTTTTTAAAGTGAGAAAACTGCAAATTAGACTTGGCACTGTAGAAGCGTTTGTGGCCAGGTGAAGTTGGACATGAGTGAACAGATGGAAGAGAAATTAAAAACAGCAAGTTGTATCTATCACTGTAAGTGTTGCACAAAGACTAGCAGCGTACTGGGTTTAGTTAAAAATAGGTATTTTCACCTGTTCCATGATATGCGAAAATGTTTGATATTTAGACAGGGTAAACCACACTGCATGTATTGCAGGTTAATAATTAGCTTCTCTTCTGGAGGGTTAACAACCTAAGTTAGCATATCAAAATTGGAGAAAAGGAAGGGCTGCACGCTTAGCCAACATTTTGGCCCTAGCCTTTCAAGGTCAGTGAAGACTCAGGACATAGGAGAACCTGTACTGTAACAACATGTAACTCAGTTGTGCTCCAAATTTTCTGATCAAGAAGATCATGGAGCCACAGAGGAATGTGATCGATGATGTAAAGTGAGCCTGGGGAGAGTCACACGGAGAGAAAAAACATTTTCTCAAGCTTTCACAGAGAGCAAATTGGTCAAGCAATGGCCGTGACTCATCCTCATGTCAGACACTGACAAAAGGATGTACAAAACGCGGTACAGGGCTACAGGATAAATCCTGAGGGTACTTGACTGACCTTATCATATACAAAAGTCACATTTCTTGTTACATAGTTCTTGCTATATCTTGGTCTTAACCATCCAGCAGAAAAGTATAAAAATGAGGTATACAAAGTAAATCCATATTAATACAATGAGCTGTAAAAGGCTCAAGTCAATAACTTCTGAGGATAACCCACTAATATTATAGACTGCTAGACTGTGTTGATTGTTTAGTTGAATTCAAACACTTATAGTATTTAGATGCCAATAGAATATTCACCTCTGACAGGACAAAAGATACAAAGGAAAGATCATTTTGTATTTATATATACAAAATAGGATAAATTTACAGTTACTTTCTCTTAATTCAATGAGAAGAGTACTAACAGTGTTTGGACAGAATATCCTGTCTGCTGCTTGTACTAAGGATAACCACTAAGAAGATAACAATATACAGTGTATTGTTTATCAAAACTGTCCTATTAATCAACTGTGAAACTGTCTCATTCATATTTATTTCTTAATAAAAAATTTAAAAAAGGTATTTTCAGCTCCATCCTAGCCATACTTTATCAAGGCACGGAAAGTAGAAGTAGTTCCGACCTTACCATCTTGTGCTGAAAGTGATGGTCATTAGCAAGGAGATTGAGCAACTACAAACGAAGTTCCCAGTCTGGACTTAAATTTTCTCGTTTTAATTTAAATACAGCTTTTATCTTGGAACCTGTACAAGGGAGCCTATATAAAGAAGTGCTGGAGAAAACGAAGTAAATAATCCCAACAGAAGACAGGAAACAACTTCACTTAACGCTCCAGCTGTGAATAATGCGCGGAAATTCCGTATTTAAAATACCCGGACTGGGCGGGCTGGCAGCGCACGCCCCCGGCGCGCGGCCTTGTGGGATTTGTAGTCCCATCCCACGGCCCCGGAATTAAACAGTGTGGCGGTGGCTCGGAAAAGACAGAGCTAGAGAAGGGCCCTGCGCGAGGCGACGAAGCGAAGGGCCACAGACCCTCATGTCCTTCTCCTGAGGTGCGCGGCTCCGGAGGGGCGCGAATGTCACCCGCGCCCGGCTCAGCAGTCGCGACGCACACAGATTACGTCATGGCGGGCCGAGGCCGATGATGAATTCCGGTGTGCAAGTCAGGTTGCTGTGTCACTCGGCTCGCGGCGCGCCCCTTCCCCGCTGCCTCGCGCACCACCTCTCCGGCCCTTCTGCGCCGCCTCTCAGGTCCTTCTGGGCTCCGGTCGCCCCTCTCCTGCAGGCTCTTCTGCCACAGCCTGGCGTACGCCGGGTCTGCCCTGTGGACCGATTTCGGGTGGCGCCGGGGTCCCAGGAACCCGACCTGCACCGGCCATGGCGGGTAGCGGCGCCAGGTACCGGCTGAGCTGCTCGCTCCCGGGCCACGAGTTGGACGTGCGGGGCCTGGTGTGCTGCCTCTATCCGCCTGGGGCTTTCGTGTCTGTGTCCCGAGACCGCACCACCCGCCTCTGGGCCCCGGACAGGTGAGCCCTGCGAGTCGGCCGCCCTTAGCCGTATTGCAAGCTGGGGCAGGAGTGGAAAGGGACCTTTTCCTGCCGGACGTCTCTCCCTTCCCTCTGCTGCCCACTGACTCCCACCAGCTCTCTCAGTCCTTGGTGCTCTGGGTGTCCAGCAGGAAACCTGTGGGATTTAAATGGACCAAGCACGGGGTGGGGGACCGAAGGCCTGTCTTCCTGTCGTAACTGGGCTACTAACAAGGGGTAGCCCCGCACGAGCCCGCTACCTTTGGGGCCTAAGTTTTGGAGGAGGAAGTTCCTTCCGCAAAAATTTATTGGTGGTCTTGGCTAACCTTCTAGGTGAGGTCAATGGGAAAGCTTCTGGCATGTCCTTTTCACCCTAGAAGTTACACAAAATTTAATTTGTGAAGACCTAATTCTCAAAAATTGTATTACAGAAAGTTGCATTGAATGCTTTCTTTTACAAATTTTATTAGTACGTATATGGAACACATAATGATTACATTCATCGTGGGGAATCGGTACATGTACATAATACATTGTAATTCTTTTTATTTACCTCTCCGCTGCTTTCCCTCCCTCCATCTCCTGGTGCTCTTCCTGTTTACAAAAGTTCTATCTTCTGATTTGCTGTTATCTGTGTTTTATTTTGCTCTTCAAATTACTTGTACTTTGGGGTTTTCGTGTAAGTTTTCATGCCTAATTTATGTGGTTTGACATTATGGTCTCAAGGTGCATCCATTTTTCTACACATGACTCACATTTATCTTTTGTGTTTAAATAATACTCTATTGTGTGTAAGTATCCATGCTTCTGTTGAGGGACATATATGCTGCTTCCAAAATTTACCTATTAAGAATTGTGGGACTGTAATTATGAGTGTGCATCTATTGCTGTAATGTGTCTTTAACTCTTTAGGGAAGGGGCATAGCTGGATTGAATTAAATTTCTAGTTTGAGTTTTTTTTGTAAATACTTTCCTTTTTGTCCAAGTTAGTTTTTTACCCTGGAATCAATGGTTTTGGGGAAGAGGAAATGAAACTCCACAAGTGTTTGTTGCTGTATGGAAAAGTGTTTGCTTAAGGCGAGCTCCTTGCCTTCAGATATTTATTAGAGAGGTTAATGAACAAAGTTAATGCCAGTTAGGTCAAGTTCAAAATTCAACTGTGATTTGGTTGGTTATAGGGTAATAGTTCAGTTATTATAAATATAGAAGCATGAGGTAAGGTCTTATGGAAGAGTTAAGCATACAGCCAGGTAAACTTAAAAATGTAAAAGGAACTAGCTTATGCAGCTTACCAACTAATAATTCAAACCACTAAGCCAATCTTATAGATAAAAAGGTGAACACAAAAGCAAAGGCTAACAGATTGGGATAAATAGATTAAAAGGTGTTCCTTCCAAGACTACTCTTACTCAGGATACGTTAATGATTTGCCTTCAGGTGATGAAGAATGAAACATGGATGGAGGAAGGAGGTAGGGTGGAAGTATATTTCTTTAAAAGATATGAAGAGGGCTTCTGCCTTTGTAAAAGATACAAACTAGCTTCTACTAGTCAGGAAGGTGTTCTGTGGGGGATACCCATGAGAACTCTCTTTTTAGGGAAATGGGGGCTGACAGTACACTGTGGGTATCATTGAAAGCTCTGAAAGGTTTACTATTTAAGAGAGGAAAGCGTGGGTCATTGTGCAAGTGATGTAATCTCTACTCTTTAGGAGACTACATATTTTTTCCCGGACAGCTGACAGATATCTAGTAGATGTTTTTGTAAGGCCCTTGGAGGATCATGACTTCATGGACTCTGTTGTGGGGCTCCTGACTCCATTGTGGGGCTGCTAACCTTACTGTCTAATAGAATCTTAACTCCTGTCTGACGACTAGTAATTCTTGCTGCAGTCCTTCTGAAGAGATGTCCCTAACTGTCCTTAGGAAAGAAGGATGAAGACTGCTTTGGTGTGGAGAAGGAAGGGATCAGCAGTCAGGGTATCTTACAGGGGGCTTGTCTAATGGCCTGTGATAGAGTCAGGTGGGATCTGTATGGTGGATTCATTCTGCATCAGCATCTGAAGTTTATTAGACTCTAGGTAAAAGGAGAAAAAGCAAACATGATTTGAGTAAACAGCATCCAGGAGCATAGAGCTGTAGTAAAAGCATCAGTACTGTTATGAAGAGGCTTATAAGGGTCCAGGCCTACTCGGGAGGAATTTAGTGAGGGAGTGCTTGAACTTAGACTGGGTGAGAGACTATTGTAGGAAAGGAGTTCAGGTTAGAGATGGGTCCAAATGTGGGGAAGATTGATGTTTTCAGAATCAGGTGTCATGGAGAGCACTAGTAACAGTGCATCTTACCCTCTATGACAAAGGCAGAGTGTGTGATATGAGTTTTGTACAGAGGAAGTAAGAGGCCGATTCCTTGAGGGAGACAGTGGTAGTTTTGCCCTGTAGTCAGGCAAAGTTAAAGGTAGATTGTAAGTATGTCAGTGGGGAAGATGCTGGTGTCCCACAGTGACCTTGGCCTATGGAGGAAGCTGTGATCCCAGAAAACCAGTCATCTATACACAGGAGGTCTTTAATGGTGTGATCATGCAGGGCTTGACATGTAGTATTTTGGGTGATGAGGGTGAAAAGAGAAAATCTAGAGATCAGGTAATGTCTTACTGAATAGAAAGCCTAAACACTGGAAGAGTTAGCTCCAGGTGTGATTATTGGTGTCATTTAGTTTTAACATGGAGCCAATCTGTCTATGTTCCTGAAAAGTTATGGTGTTTGTTTCTCCTCTAAAAGGAATAATGAGAGAAGCTGAGACAGAGTACTCATTGCTCTGTTTTTTTTCAGGTTTCCAATAAGGCCCCTCATCTTTTTTAAAAGTATAGTCGCAGGGATGGCCAAATAGCTCAGTGGATTAAAGTGCCTACAAGCAGGCACAGGGGTGGAGGGCTCAGTTCCCAGGCCTGCTGTGCCAGCTCTGCCCCCAGGGCATGCTGAGACAGTGATTGAGACTGGGCATGGTGGCTTGCACCTGTAATCCCAGCTCTTGGGAAGCTGTAAACAGGCAGATCACTATGAGTCCAGTCTACTAGTGAGACCCTGAACACCCTATAGACCCCTCCCCAAAATACAAAAAAAAAAAAAGTCACAGTCCCATACGTATTGGGAGGAGACATTACAGAGGGTGCAAGGAAACCCCCCAATGGGTCCCTGTGTCTTCAAGTTTAGAGAAGCAATAAGAAGGCTGTAGAGTTGTATTCTGTCCTATAGGCTGATAATTTTGTCCTGAGGGATTATTTTTCCAGTTGAGGAACTAAGGTGGAGGTCTATCTCATAGAGGGAAGGAGGCTAGGAAGTGGTGTATAAGGTCATAGCAGTGTTTTCTCAGGATCTTGGGGGCAAAGGAATTTTTTTTGAGAATGTATTCCAGAGAGGTGATGCAAGCTGAGACTGAGCTTCCCATTTTTGTGATAAACATCAAAAAGAAAGAAGGTATCCTTGCTTTCCTGGTTGAAGTAACTCTCTAGCCAAGGTATCCCTTGGCCACCTGTGAAGTTCTAGCTGCTACTAACTGCAAAGTAGGATTGAGAGGGGGCAAGGCTACTGAATTAGTTGCTCTGACCAGTATGCCCCTGATTTCTCTCATGTCCTTGAAATCCTTTGGTTGTGACCAGTGGTTGGATTTCTTCACTCAAACAAACTGAAATACCTCTGCAAGTGAAGTTGAAGAGCAGCTGTTAGACTCTTTGTTATGTGATGAAGGACAGGGAAGGCTAAAGTGGGGCAAGAGTCCTGGCAGCCACAAAGCCAGAGAAAGTAGTCATTTAAGCATTCTTTGGAGCCATATTTGCTATCAAAAAGGACCTCAAAGCAGAAGTTTTAACTAGACCTAGGTGGTTGTCTTATTAGTCCATTCCATGTCTTTTTGTCCCCATCTAGGAAGATAGAGAATTATATTCAGCTATGGTGTCATACCTTGCCCGTTTATTCCCAGCACAAGAGAAAATGAAGGACCATTAGACCAGAGCGGGGAGTTGGGACATGAGGAGGAGTGCTGACTTACGAGTCAATATATAGCTTTTTAGTCACCTTTGAACCGCAAGATTTAGAAGGAACAGTCTAGGTTACTTCTAGAACAGTCTAGGTTCCTTCATCCCTGAACCAAACCAACAAGAGCAAAACTTAAAATAAAACACATCTGTTTCTTTTCATAAACATCATTCTCTGCAGACCTTTCTTGACACACATGAATCTCCTAGTTTTGCTATTGTCTTTCCTTTTTCTGTCCTGGTAGGACAAAACCATATCATATAAAATCTCAGACCAGAAATATACTTATCTTTGTACTTAAATTTTTTTACTTTTCTGTCTTCCTTACTGATTTCTTTCTGTAACAAGCCTAATAACTACTTAGATTTTAAAATGCATTGGGGGCTGGGAAGATAGCTCAGTAGAATAAGCATCTGCCTGGCAAGCACAGGGTCCTGAGTTCAATCCCCAGTACCTCAAAAAACAAGAAACAAAAAACAAACAAACAAAAAAATGCCTTGGGCAGGGGAGACAGCTTAGCGGCATAAGAACCTGACTGGTACCAGAAAAAAAAAAATGTCGTTAGTGTGCTTTTTTTCCCCTTGGTCTTTTAATGAGTTTCTGGATATTTATATTCTAATTAGGCCTGGATGACCAGTAAACCTTCAAGTGGCCATGCATCTTTATCTTAGCCCAAGTAGAAAGCAGCAGAAGGTAACCCTGTAATTGTAGTTTACAACTATCTCAGTGCACAGAAACTGTTTTAAGCATATCAGTTAAACAAAACATAAGTTGGAAACTAAAAGTAAATTTTTCCGTCACTCAAGATTTGCCTCAGTGAGTTTTCAAAATTTTATTTTTTATTATGTATTTGTAGCAGATAATGATGCCTCAGTGGGCTTTCGTTAACTCATTGAGGGTTGCTAGGAAGGCTCCCTTCGTTGCTCCCTAGAAAGGAGTTAACCCCAATTTTGTTATGTTAGAAATCATTCAAGAGCTTTTTTTTCCCATTAACCGCAAAAATGAAAGTTACAACCTTTGCCTGAAAGCACCTGTCCATCTGCATTTTGCAGGCTAAGGCCATTAATTTAGCAAGTGGAAGTGGTAGGAGCAGAGTTGGAGCAGTAGGAAGAATACAGTTCAGAAAGGATCTAAAGGAATGTGACTCACAAAGGAGATACGACTCTTGCCATCCTAGGCAAGACCCTGAGAACTCAGAAGCAAGCAGCGCAAAACATTTAGGGCGTAGGAGAAGATGATGCAGCAGAGATATTTCATCTTTTTGTTGCACAATCAAAACATAAGATGTATGGAAGTTGTCTTACGCCTGGCACAACCTACAATGCTGTGTCCCTTGGCCAAGTTACCCTTTCATAGGAGTCTTTTGAAATGGCAGATGCCCTAACAACTTTTAACTGCCTTACCTGTGTCCACAAGTGAGTGACCAGATAATGAAGAGGAGACAAGATACAGGGTCTTTCTTCTGGCTTAGCTTGCCAAGAAAGAGAGTCATGATAGAGAAAAATGATTCATTCCTCATGCCTGTAGTGAGTTAAAGGAGTCAGGTAGCAGAGATTATTCCCTCACCACTGGAAAGATCCAGTGGCAGTACAACTGAGGTACAACTGGGCTGATATTCCATTCACTTGTGGGTAGAGGGGGTTGGCTCAGCACAGCGTCAGTGAAACCTGTCCCCCATTTTTTTTTTTTTTTTTGATGGAACCGGTGATTGAACTCAGACCCTTGCTCCTGCCAGGAAAACGCTTATTCTACTAAGCTCAAACTTTCAAGATTAGCAGTTTTGCTAATCACCTTTAACCAGTCACTGCAGTCCCAGTATTGTTCTGAGGAGAAAGCTGTAGTCACTTCAGCAGGAGAGGTGAGGGAATATATCAGTTGCCACCTGTCTCTTTATCTGTACCTCTGTGACCAGAGAAGCAATCAGTGAATGCACAGATCTGAAAGTTGCCCAGATTAGCTTCTGTATTTGTGTGTAAGCCTCTCCATGAGTAGGCGCATATATGCCTGCCCTGGGGTTGACGGTGAGGGATGAGGTAGCTGCTATGGCAAAGAGCTGAAATTGATCAAAATGAACTTCGAGGGGCTATGAATAGAGCTCCCCAAGGAGCAATTGTGTAGCGTGTGCAAAGCCCTGGATCTGATCTCCAGCAGCAGAAAAACCAATTTCGTTTTATAGCCCATGTTTTCTCCTGAAAGTTGAAAGCCTTCAATTGGCATCAGTGTCTCACATAGATAGAATCTGCCAGTGCAGTTTTTTGCTTAGGAAGGAGACAGGTTGCTGGTGCTTCCTGTTGTACCATCTTTTGATATACTTCTCCAGTTCTTGTGCTGTGAGGGGATTCACCGGTTAATTGGATTTCCATTTGTTGCCTGGTTAGAACTCTCTGAGGGTTCCTAAGGCCATTGCTACTTTTCTATCCGCTTTAAGATATTCAAAATTGTATTCTTTTTCTTTCCATTTTCTCCGACTTTGTTGGTTCATGCCTTTATCGAAATATTAAGTACCTTTGTGAACTATTTTTTTGTTGAGGTTTATGAAGGGAGCAAAAATAAGATGAATATCTTAAGCTGTCATCCAGCCTTATCTCTTTATGTGCACTTCTAACTAGTGTCTTCTGCAGCTAGTCTGCAGACTCTTTGTTTCAGTTTGAATTAGGGCTGTGACTCTTAATGTCCCTGCTAACTTACTGCTTTCTACATATGTAGCATAATTTCTTGTTTGTCTTACAGCATTGATGCTTAGTGATAGGTATAACATAGTAATCCTAAGGCAGTTATTAATATACATGTCCCTATAGCAGCCCTCCATGTATTCCTGTTTTGCATATTTAAAATGACTGATAGTCTGTTTTAAATACACACACACACACACACACACACACACACACAGAGGAGTATTAAAGTAATGCTTCGTAGTATAAAAATGTCTTCACTATATTAAAGGTGTATTGTCAGTGAATTCTATTACTTTAGTTTCACTTCACCAGGGCTGTCTTAGAGCAACAATCACGGATGACTAGAGTGAAGAGAGAGAATGAGAAAGACCTATTTCTTTTTAATTGTTAGTATATGTTTATGGTATTGAATGATTACATTTATTTTGGGGGAAAAGCCATTTTTCATATTTTATCCCCTTTGTTTCTTCTGTTAATTAATGTACTTTAATCAAGGAAACACTTATCAAACTTTTCCTAATGTGATGTAATCCTCTATAGTAGCTCATGTAAATTAATGTTTCACTTAAAACTGAACTATTCTTAAATAGTATGTACTTTAAAGTTCAGCCTGGACACTAAATGAAAATGACTGCTTTGACAGTTTGTGTCTTGGGTAGGAAATCAGGGAATCAATATGTATCTATTAATTATCTTGTCTTTCCAGTCCTAACAGGGGTTTTACAGAAATGCACTGTATGAGTGGCCACTCTAATTTTGTATCTTGCGTGTGCATCATACCCTCAAGTGACACATACCCTCATGGACTAATCGCCACTGGAGGAAATGACCACAATATTTGCATTTTCTCACTGGACAGTCCGATGCCACTTTATATTTTAAAAGGTCACAAAGATACAGGTGAGTATAGCATTTTGGTATTTTTCTATCTGAAAAGGTTTTATTCCTTTGAAAATAAAATCCATATATCATTTTTTCAGATTTTTTGGTGTATCTTGTTTTACCTGTAACTATGGCTTGATAGTGAAAATTGGGATCTTCTTAGTTTTATGAACTTTATTACAGATTTATTTGTAAAGTGAAAGGTTGATGTGTTTGTATATGTAAAAAGTACTTCGTTGTTTTTGTTTTCTGTGGTGCTAGAGATTGGACCCAGAGCTTTGCACATAGTAGGCAGGTGTTCTGACACAGCTGCATCCCTAGATTTTTTGTAGAATGTAAACTTTCCATTACAAAAGGAAGAGGATGTAAACTTTTGATACTTTCTAATTTTGTTTTTTTAAGTTTTACGCAATAAGGCTATTTACTCAGGAAAATAGAGACTATTTTCTTTATCTTTTGATTTTCATTTCTGTATTATGTAGCAAATTGTAAAGACCCAGAGAAAATGTGTTTGGGGATTTGGTATCACTATTTAAAAATATTTAATACTTTGGGATATCATTTTCCATGATTTGTTATAATCCTGATTCTGGGTTTCTGTGACTTACCAGTTCTTTTATAAAGTGACATTTAAGTTTTAGCTATATATATTATTACATATATAAATTATATATATGTGTACATCTGAAGGAGTCATAGACATTGCACAAATTACAAATTTTTTAAACACTTTTTTCAATTTGTATGGATGCTAAAATTTGAATATCATATTTTCATGTCAAAGAATTTTTTTTAAGTTTTATTTATATGTGTGTGTGTGTGTGTGTGTGTGTGTGTGAGTGTGGCCAGCTCAGCCCACCAGGGGGCGGGGATGGCTGGGATGTGGTGCTGGGGGATTGAACCGTGGTCCCTGTGCTTTGCTAAGCTTGTTCTAAGCAGGTGTTTTAGACCACTGAGCCATCTCACCAGCCCCAACAAAGAAGTTTTTATTTTTCAGCCATTTAAAAATACCAGAGGGCCGGCCAAATAGTTCAGTGGATAAAGCACCTGCAAGCAGGTGCAGGGGCCAGGGGTTTGATCCCTGGGCTTGTCATGCTGGCCCTGCCCCAGGGCCGCACTGAGATGGCAGTTGAGACTGGGCATGGTGGCGTATACCTGTAATCCCAGCTCTTGGGAGGCTGTAAACAGGCAGGATCACTACGAGTCTGATCTACTAGTGAGACCCTGAACACCCTGTAAACCATTCCCTAAAAT